GAACCAAAGAACAGAGAAACAGCAATTATGTGAGAGCTGCAGGTGCTAAAGGCTTTAGATCTGCCCTCAGTGGATCTCATTTGAAAAATGGTAGAGAGGATGAATCCATAAGAGGTAAAGATAATAACACTGGGCACAATGATATCTATCCCACCTACAATAATAATCTCTATCTCATTGGCAAAAGTGTTGGTGCAGGAGAGTTGCAACAAAGGAAGCAGATCACAGAAATAGTGGTTGATGGTGTTTCTGTCACAAAAGGTCAATCTAAGCATCCATCCAGTGTGGATCATGGCACCAGAAAATCCCATTATGTATGAACCAAGCATAAGATAGGAACACATCTTGGGAGACATTGCAGTGTTATACAAGAGTGGGTTACAGATAGCCACATAACGGTCATAGGCCATTGATGTTAGAACACAGCATTCACTGACAGCAAAAAAACAGAAGAAATATAGCTGGGTCATACATCCCACGTAGGAGATAACATTCTTCCTTACTAAGAAGTTCATCAGCATTTTGGGTGTAATAACAGAGGAATAACAGAGATCAATGAAGGACAAGTTTAAAAGGAAAAAGTACATGGGGGTATGAAGGTGAGAATTTAGCACAATTAAAGTTATCAAAGCTGCATTCCCCAGTGCTGTGGTTGTATATATTAGCAGAAAGAGTAAGAACAGGGGTAACTGGAGATCAGGGTCATTTGTCAATCCCTGTAGAATGAATTCAGTCACCAAAGAACCGTTTTCTAGACCCATTCTTCTTTAAGATAATCTGTAAACACACAAAAAATATTGTGACATTATAAGACCACAAAAAAATTCTGCCACAGCTTCTAACACACTTGTGAAGTACCTGGTGGAAATTCCTTACGTCTACCTATTTGAGTTCATGGAATTTGCTATCGACATGTAGAGTAATATTTTCCTATGTTCATGCATAAAGCTAAATGGAATAAAGTCAAAGACCCACAGTCTAAAATGCCATGACCACTGCTGTCATTTGAAAGCAGGACTGCTCAGATGTCCAAATAAGAGGTGGCAGGACAAGTATGGGTTCCTCATCGCTCATATTCATCTTGTCATTGTTTCAGCCCTGGGCAGATATACGGAGAACCTGTGGCAATCTGGATTTACCCCATCCAAATACAACTGTGGTGGCATCAGGACCACCTACATTGTTTCAAATATAAACTTTAGATTTTCCAGAGTTTAGGATAGTTAGACCTGTGCTTGCTATGGGAAAGCATTATTCTAGAAGGATTTGAGAGAC